TTGTATTTATGTGTTCCCTTTCCCGTTTGAGTTGTTCGCCCTCCTGAGTCCCTGTAAGGAATAGGGCGGCATATAAATAAAACAAATCTCAATCTCAATCTCGCTTGTGCACCAGAGTCAAAATTCCATTTGTGTCTAATCACACTTGGACAAATAAAGTATTCAATTCAGTTCAGTTTTGAGTCCCTTTTCTTTTTCCTATTTGTCTGGGAACTGCTTTAGTACACCAATAATGGTTACAAAATGCACATACCTTCATCCTGTTTTGACTTTCCAAACCCTTCAGATTGACAAATGTGACTTATTAATACTCTTCATTTTATCCCTGCAATGAAGTGAATGTGTCTTTTTTATAATGTGATCTTCACAGCTAAGTGAGACTCTGTCAGTTCAGCAATGCCTTCCCCACTAGTGTTGTACAATTCCTTTGATCTCTAGCTATAATCAAATGCATTTGGCTGTTCTGGCTGCTCTCTCAGCGGGATTGGTGACTAGCGTTTAGTGACTACCTTATAAAGCCTGGTTTAAAGCAGATTATAGTGTGATGCATTTTACAGCTAAATATAGATGTTAAATAAAAATAATCTCTGGAATTACACTTCTGCTATGTAATGAAACAGTTTGTTAAGTCCATTACAGGTGATAAATTTGGGTTCCTCTCTCTGTTATTTTCAAGGTTTTCGTTTCCATTTCACTTTTAAACTGTATTTCTATGGATTATTTTTAGTGCTTCCTTTTACCCTGACTAGTTACTCGGGAAGTGTGACATGTATTAAGACATGAGAATGATGTCTTAATGAAAAAGACAGCATATGTTTATGAAATGCAAAAACCTAAACTGGATTTAGGATGATCCCCATTGAACTGCATGTAGAATCAATGTGGCTATCTACAAACAATGTGAAAGCATTACATGGAAGTAATTTAACCTCTCTACTGCAACAAATAAAGATCCTTTGTTTGTCTTTTTTTCTAAATCAAGGTTCATTTATTTTAGTTGTTTGTTTGTATCCCACTTTTATTATTTTTACAAACAACCCCAAAGGGGAACACGTTCAATACATCATCTTCCTATTTACAACCCTGTGAGGTGGATTGAACTGAGAGATGTAGTGATGTAATCTTTTGTTCTTGCAGTTTAGCATTATTTAATAGTCTTTTGATTTAAAATATTTCTTTTAAAATAATATTTAAAATTTGTATTCCAGAAATTTTATGAATAAGCACCAGAAGCCGATTCTAACAGGCCAGCGGTTCAAAACAAGGAAAAGGGGTAGGCATAACAATTTGTTGTAGTACTTTAGTACTTTATATAGTATTGTATGCTTTATTTCTTCTCTCAAACAAAACACAAAATAATGAAGTAATAATTTGCTTTAATGGTATATATTGGAAACTACTGCTGTGATCACACAGCACTGACTGAGTTGTAAACCATATAAGTTTGCTTATTTGGTTAAAGCAAAGTGCATTATGATTTACTGTAGCACATTTATTGATTTATTTAAAACATGTAACTGCCCATCATATGCCAGGCTATATCAATTATCACACATTAAAATAAGCTAATTTCAAATTTTAGTAATATTGTCCTGTTTCAATAAACTGTTAATGATAAGTAATAATTCCTTTTAAACAGAAGAGACTATATGTCTCTTGCATAGAAACAGAAGGGTATGTTCCTAATGTCTTTATGTGCTTGATATGAAGAAAGAAAAGTGCAGATATAAAATTGGCATGACTTGACCATCTGAGAGGTTTTATGATAATTGCTGAATTTATTTATTGCTGCTATTAGCATATAAAGTACACTTGCACAGAAAGAAGAATGCTGTCATCTGAAATGTCAATTGCCCTTCCAGTCAATCTTAAGAAATTGATTCAATTTTTTTTTAAATCACACAGTTTCTGTTGTTATTTTGAAAATATGGGAAATCAATATTAAAAATATTGCTTTGGAATTCTATAACAATAAATTTAAAAACATATCAGTTAAAACTGATTATAACAGAGACAAATAGCAGAAAAATGGAACACAATGCGTGCAGCATTCTCAGTAGTATAGGGCATTAATAAGCATATGTTTAGAATGGTAAATAGCTGAAAAATATAGGTAAGTAATAAATTAGGTAAACTTATTAGTACTACTTTTCTATTACAGATGAAAAGGAGAAATTTGAACCCACTATCTTCCGGGATGCAATTGTCCAAGGACTTAATGAAGCTGGTGATGACTTGGAAGCGGTAGCCAAATTTCTGGATACTACAGGGTCAAGGCTAGATTACCGGCGCTATGCTGACACTCTATTTGACATTTTGATAGCTGGCAGCATGCTAGGTATGTATGTCACATAGAAAACTTCAACACTTCCATCAAAACTAGTTCTAGCAACATGTCTCCTTGATTCTGTTAGCCATACGGTTAAAGAACTGTTCCTATCTTGATTCTCCTTTTTGTATGTGGTGTTTAGCTTACATTTGTTTCAGAAGCTTGGGATATCTGTGATTACTGTAAATATATGTAGTAGTATGGAGTATAGAAGCTAAACTAGAGTCTGCATTACAGGCAGTGTCATTATAAGCTTTGATACTCATATCACATTTTATTTCCATGATTGAAAATGTTTTGTAATAAGCCTTACTTCAATTGACAGATGAATATATATATCTATATATATATATATATATATATATATATATATATATATATATATATATAGAACACTATCTCTTTTTCCCATGTGGATAATATAAGATTTAGTTATGTAATTATTTTGAATGTGCCTTCTCAGCTCCAGGTGGGACGAGAATAGATGATAATGATAAGACCAAGACAACAAACCAGTGTGTATTTTGTGCAGTTGAAGATCATGATACTCTCCGACACCATGCTCAGGTTCAGTCAAACATTGAGACAGATGACAAATAGATCATAGTTGTTTTTATTTTTAAATTATTCTGAAGCTTTATGTTTTAATAAATGTATGCATGCATACTCAGCAAAAATACTATTGATGCAATCAAACTATTTAATTATTTATTTATTAGGATTTATGTCATTTCAGTCCATATGTCATCACCATCACCACAGCTAAAAGTCTATTAGTATTACAACTGAAATTAAATATGATTTCAGCATCTGTGAAGCACTCAGATATCAAAGCACAATCCATAAAGGGAGTTTTAGCTTTCATGAATATGAGCAAGCTAGAAGCTAGTCTGATTATGCAGCTTGCAAGAAGCCTGGATTCTGTGATCCCTATAAATGAAAATTCCTAAGAGAAGAGATCAAAGTCAAGCTTGAGTTGAATCTATCCTTTCCAATCTTGTTTGTTGAATAGAAGCCATTGGGAATAGAGGGTTCCATAGATAACAATATCCTAAATTACCAAAGGCTATAACGATAGCAAAGTATCTTGAATTAAATCCAAAAGCAAGCTGGCAATGTAATTGATGCTTCTGGATGGTATTCAGAGAAAGATACAAATAGAAAGGGTTGCAGTAATCAAGCAAGAGGTGACTAAGATGTCATTAATTAAAAGAGGCTGCCTATCTTAAGCAACTCTAGCTATCCTACAACAAGCAGGTTCTCCTAGTCCAGAAAAAGTCGTAACTGGTAAATCAGATATAATTCTCCAAAAGCCTCCTGGCCATAAGTTTCAAACTGAAACCAAGTGAATTTGCTAGATTAAATTAGATTAGATTAGTATTAAATTAGATTGACAGAACAGACAGATATAGCAAGGGCAATGAGCAGCTATATAAATTTCATAGCCAGAGTCCAACTTGGGAATATGCCAATGTCTGGAGGAACTCTGTGGAATGGATGAAAGAGGTGGAGGGTGTGGCAATTTCCATGAGATCTGTTTTAGGATAAACTATCACAAGGGCACTGCAGTGACCTTAACTTTTGTAATAAGAACCTTGTGGGGGCCGGGAGGGGGGTGGGGTTCATAACTTTGAATAGTGTCTAAGTGAATGATTAGGATACCCTGTAACACCATTAAGATAGGTCTCAACATATTATATTTTTATTAATAAAAGAAGTTGGATCATTTTCAAAAGTAGTCCTACATTCAGTGTGAAATTATTTAATTCAAGATGCTAAGACCAAATGGTTTAGTCTATATGGCTAGATTACCTTACATGATAAGGCAGCTAATGCTGGTAATCTGAGTTAGCCCTTCCTTTGAAACTCTAACCTTGTTTTAACAGTAAATTGACTAACAGGATTCTATTTGAATCCTTGCTCAAGATTCAGTTTGAATTAATAAATGACTTTAACTACTGTAATGGTTTATTTTTGATAATATCTGATAGAGTATATTTTTTTAGGATAAATCTTATCAGTAGAGAAATAAATTGCTTAATATTTAACAATGGAAAATATTGATTTATGTTCCTGCTTACTACTTTAACCACTGCATTAAATATACCCACAATTATGTTAGTGATGAATTGGAGAACAGTAAGGATAGCATTATACATCTGCCTAGGTGTTTAGATGATTTATTAAATAAGTAAATTAATGAATTATATTTAATCTACACTTTAGTTTTATCATTTATTATTTGTAAGGATTTTTACAAATGACATTTGTATAATTGGTTTGTACTTGTTAACTGTTTATTTTTTTATGTTTAGGTCTTCAATAAGCTGATCAGAAGATATAAATATTTGGAAAAAGCATTTGAAGATGAAATTAAAAAGGTAGTTTTATTCTAACATGTAGGAACTTTTAATGTGCTTCAAATAGAATAAGAAACTATTTTGGCTACTGAAATATCAGTTATTACAATAGCTTCTTATTTGCATAGATTTTTCAGGGTTTTGTAGTAAAGATAACTAAAAGATCTTTTGCTTACATCTTGAGCTTGTCTGGAGGTTCTAGCAGGGGAGCGCAGCTATCGTATACCCTTGGCCGAAGATCGGTACACTCCTTCTATCTGGGATGGTCGTCCTCTTCCACCAAGCGTGCAGCTTCGGAAGGGACGCACATGGAGCGGTGAGGGAGGAAGGGGACACCCGCCTAGCCAGCCAGATCAGCCGAATCAACCCTGGCGATCAATGGGGTGACAGATGTCGCAGCCAGATCGCCCTCACTTACATCTATAAACTGAACTTCCCTAAATTTATTCCCTCACTGAGTTGGGCATCAAGTCCAATAATTTCTATTCAGAGGTTACGCTAAAAACATAGCTGGCAAGCACTAGGATTTGAGGGTGCATTTAAGCTTATATTAGGCAATAATACAGATACAAGAATACACATTCTTGATGAATGTGGTTAATAAATCCCACAAAATAGTCTCATTTTTCAAATTTCTTTATAAGCATGTTTATTATTTTTATAAATAATTCAAGATGCAAACATACTTAATACTTTTTTCCTCTTCCTATTTTCCCCAAAACAGTAACCCCGGGCTGAGAGAGAGTGACTATCCCAAAGTCACCCAGACATCTTTCATGCCTAAGAGGGACTAGAACTCCCAGGCTCCTGGTGATTGGCTCAAAGTCACCCAGACATCTTTCATGCCTAAGGCAGGACTAAAACTCTCAGTCTCCCAGATTCTACCTTGGTGTCTTAACCATTAGAACAAATTAGCTCTTATTTGCACCATATGAAGTGATGCTGTTATGGAAAATAGTTTAATTGGTTTCAGCTCATATGAAAATAGGTAACCAATAGGTAATAAATACAATAAATACAGATAATAAAACATAATCTTTATATGTATATTTATAAAATATTACAATAAAGGATAAAAAAGAATATAGATAAATTTTAAATTCTGAAATAAGCTTTATATTTAAAGGAAAACATAAAGATCTTTTCAGATATGTGCAAAAAGCTTACACAACTTTACCTTTAATGTTTTACAAGCACAGCCAATGATTATTAAAAGGTATATGTGTGCCATAGCTCTTTGATAAAAAGCAAATATTTTGAATCATAGAATCTACATATTGATTTGTCAAAAGATCAGTATTGCATTAGAGAGCTGTTAAATAGGTTTTCCAGGAATTAAGACAAATTATCATTCATCTTCTCTATTCCCCATTATGTCCATGTGTTGCATTTTGTTGTCAGCAATGTATGATTATGCAGTTTTGAACTTTGATTCAAAGCTGTGGATCAAAGTGTAACTAATACTCTACTTTGTACCCTGTGTTCTCCCTCTTCTGAAACAAAACAAATATATCTACCCTGCTTATTTATTACTGTATACTGACTTACTTTTACAACAGAGATTAATTGGATTGACTTTAAATTACATTGTTAATTTAATGTAAATGCAGTCCTTTCTCATAAACTGATAAACACTTTAACTTTTAAGGTAGTTTTTGGTAATTCCAAATTTGGATTTATTGCATTGCTATTACTATTTTGGGCAGCCCTGAGCACTTCAGGTTTGTTTTCTGTGTTTATATGCTTCCAAAAACATGTGCCTCTTTTTTTTTTTTTTGACTTACAGCTCCTATTATTTCTTAAAGCATTTTCTGAAACTGAACAAGCAAAATTGGCAATCCTCACTGGAATCTTACTAGCTAATGGAACACTACCCGCTACCATTTTAACAAGCCTTTTCACTGACAGCATTGTCAAAGAAGGTAATTAGAGATTCTCCCTTCCCCAAAGAATGTACATTATCTTCTCCCACAGAATAACTTTGTTATCTTTATTTTGAAAAGGCAGGATCTTTGATGTTGTGGCTTTAGAATTAGGGATCACTCTCTTGAGATCTTATGTATTTTCCATTCCCTCCTCTTAGACATTAATAAATTGTAAAGCTTATATGCTGTGCATGTATAAATTGTTTATTGACAATTTTGTTATTTTAACATATTAATATGACTAAGATTTGATTTGAGAATCCTGAATGTCATCTTGTGAATTTAATGGGTTTTGTTTTGTTTAATGGGCAATATCTTTGCAGGGCTTAGTACATTAAAAGGAAATAATTGCCTTCCCAGAAAAAGGCTGAAGAAGTTAGAGGAAATCAGGATTTCCAAGAAGTGACCTTGAAGCTAATGGCGAAGTAACATGTTAGGGCAATTGTATTTGTAAAACTGAGTGTGCTTAAGAGCCACTGGTACTTCTCTCTTATCAAAAACAAATAAACCAGCAGCTGGAACTTATTAGAAGGAAAAGAGATAATCATGTTCTCCCCTGCTGTTTTCCTTTAAGGATTGCTCTTTTTCGAAATATATTTAGGGTAGGGATAATATTTTAAACAAGGAAATTGTGATATTAAAATCCACTATCTTATGCATTGATTAAAGATTTTGAGGCTTCTTTTTATTAACAGGATATTATTTATATGTACTCCAACTTTCAAGTTACTTATATGTACTCTAGCTTTCAAGTATAATTAATCTTCGAGAGAAGGCTAAGTACAGGTTTTAACAGTACATGATGCAATGCCAGAGGTTTGCTCCCTCAAGAGTGGATTCTCTTCATTGTGGGATTCAGAAAACCTAAATGATTCCTCAATAAATTTTTGAAAATTTATTTATTTTTATAACACAAGTGAAAGCCTGGATTGAGGGAGAGATAGCAAGGGAGAGATTACTGTTCTCTTCCACCTGGTTACATTTTTGGGATGCCTGCAATAATTTCATCTTAAGTGTTTCAAGATACCACAACTTGTATCAGGGACAAAGGGGAGGATTTTACTATGCATGTTGATTGATGAAATTCCCCTATGGCAGTGTTTCACAATGTAAGCAAATTCAGGATGTATGGAATTCAACTCCCAGAATTCTCTCAGCTCTCATGCTGGCTGGGGAAATACTGGAAGTTGAAGTCCATATATCGTAAAGCTGCTAAATGTCAGAAACACTGCTCCATGAACAGGCACAGTTGAATGACCTACTTTGAATTCAGATGAGTTTTTCTTCTGTTCAAAAATATTAGAAACATAGTATGGCTAGGTACATTTCTAGTAGTTTTCAACAGATGATAACTATAATAACTCAACTTCTTAGATTCTGGGTTTGCCCAGATAACACATGCTATTCATTTTTGTTTCCTGCCAGCCATACACTCTTTTCTGACTGACCAATGTTGAATCCTAGAGATCAAACCAGACCTCACCAATTTGTTATCCTATAGAGATTTTGGATTACAGTTCCTCTCAGAGCCAGAGATAGTTGTGCCAGCAAAATCTGAGAACAGTAGTTTAATACAGAGGTTTTTAACCTCTGCAACTTTAAAATGTATGGACTTCAATTCCTAAAGTTCCCCAGCCAGTCTATATATCTTAACATTGATGAGGTTAAGAAACATTGATCTAAACATGTCTAGGTATTGGATTAGATAAAAAACTGAATTAATTAAATAAACACCACAGCTTCTTTGTTCATGATGTTTTTATTTGCTGTAGGTATAGCAGCCTCTTTTGCTGTCAAGCTTTTTAAAGCATGGATGCTTGAGAAAGATGCCAACTCTGTTACTTCTTCTTTAAGAAAGGCTAACTTAGACAAGAGACTGCTTGTAAGTATTCCTATTCTTATAATCTATGTGACCAATAAGCAAGTTTCTCCAGGAATCCTGAAGTAAAAATTTAAAACTGTAGATAAATAAAATATAAATATGAATTTTAAAATTCCAAAAGCATAACATCTGAAGAAAAGTATCAATGAGGAGCTAACATCAATACTGTTAAAAAAAATTAAAAAGTCCGAGAAAGGAATAATAGAAAGTAGGGCATTTAAATCCTGAAGAAAATAACACAGTACTCGTGCATTTTGTTTTTCATCCCTAAATGTAGACCCTTACTTTTTTCACCATTGAATTTCATTTTGTTAGATAGCACCCAATGTTCAAGTCTGTCAAGTTCCTTGTGTATCTTAAGTCTGTCGTCCGGAGTGTTGGCTATTCCTGCTAGCTTGGTATTGTCTGCAAATTTGATGAGTTCCCTATCTATCCTCTCATCCATGTTGAAGAGTACTGGGCCTAAAACAGAACTCTGGCGTAATGCACTGCTTACCTTCCTCCATGTAGATGCAGTTCCATTGAGGATTACACATTGAGTGTGGTTGGTCAGCCAGCCACAATCCATCTGGTGGAATCCATCTCGTGGTGATGCTGCCTAACCCACATTTTTCTATTTTATCAAGTAGTAGGTTATGGTCTACTTTGTCAAATGCCTTACTGAAATCCAAGTAAATTATATCAGTAACATTCTTCTGGTCCAGGGATGGGTTGCTGTGGCATTACTGCTGCTTCAATGTGTATGTGATTTGGGCATGAGCGCTCGCGCACGTGCATGAGCAGTTGCCTATAAATAGATCTGCGCATACACAGAACATTAAAAAAAAACCAAAAAACCATGCAGCGACTGGGGAACCGGTTCGAGCCTGCCATCCCTACCAGTTTGGTAATTCAGTCGCAATTTCCACTACCGGTTCGGCCAAACAGTGCAAATCGGTAGTAACCCACCTCTGCTCTGGTCCACTAGTTTTGTCACTTTGTCAAAGAATGCAATAAGATTAGTCTGATAAGATCTGTTTTTGACAAACCCATATTGGCTTTTGGTTATTACTTTATTTGCTTCTAGGTGTTTCCAGAATCTTCCCTGATATTGATATCAGGCTAATGGGTCTGTAGTTTCCTGTCCTCTGGCAGTTCCCCAGTGCTCCAGGATCTTTGAAAGATATAGTTCAGTGGTTCTGAGATCACATCTGTCAGTTCCTTCAGAACGTTGGAGTGTAATCCATCTGGTTCTGGTGATTTGAACTCGTCTAGAGTAGACAGGTGCTCATGTACCATTTTCTTCCCTATTTTAACTTGTGTTCCTAATCTGTTTTTGTGATGCTGTTTTTGATAGGTTGGATTGCTTTTTACTTTTGTGTAAAGACAGATACAAAAAAATGAGTTAAGTAGTTCTGCTTTCTCCCTGTTGCTTGTCACCTTCTTGCCACTTTCTCCCTGCAATGGACCAATTGTTTCCTTGACTTTTTTCTTGTTTTTAACATATTGGAAGAACCTTTTTTGTTATTTTTTACTTTCGTTACAAGCCTTTTGTTTTTTTTTACTTTTGTCACAACTAGTCTCAACCATTAACTATTAGCCAACTTAATACATTGTCTATCCTTCTGTCCAATCACAATATATACAGTTTGTTCCAGACTTGTCACCTTGTCCTATACCAATCATAAAATCTGTTCCAGACTTCAAAATATTCTGATTCCCCTTTATTTTTAAGTTCAAGAGTGAGCCTATCTGCTTCTGCACACGCCAACACTTTTCTAATTATATCTAGCTCTGATGGCGTATTTTCTTTTTTCCAATATTGTGCATAAGTTATGCACGCTGCAGTTAGTTAGTACATGTATAATTAGATAGAGTGTATCTTTCTTAAATCCTTCCGGTATTATACCTACGAGAAAAATTTCTGGTTTAAACAGAATTTGGTCTCCCACCATTTGTTCTAACCATTATTGAATCATCTTCCAATATTTTTTTGCCTCATTGCATGTCTACCACATATGATAAAAAGTGCCTGGTGTTTTTTACACTTCCAACAATTTGGGGCCAGATTTTTAAACATTTTGGAGAGCCGTGCTGGGGGGGAGACGCCATCTGTAGGACATCTTATAAAGATTTTCTTTATACGCCATAGCCATTGTTAGTTTCTGATTAAGTATCCAAAGTTTTTCCTACTTAGCCAATTTCACATTATAATTGAAATTTTTCGCCTAGGTGACCATAGTTTCTTTGACATGTTCCTCCTCTACCTTATATTCCAACAAAAATCTATACAACACTTTGATCAACCTGTTTCTGTCTGTATCAAAAGTTTATCTAATATTGTGTAACCTTTGGCAATACCTTCCTTCTTCCCTATCCTGTGCAAACCTTGATTGTATCTGTAAATAAGACCACCATTCTACTTGTCACAAGCCTTTCTTCATTGTGAGTCTTAGTTTTCCTCCATCTTCACAGGCTCAGACTATTTGCTGATATTCTGCCTTAGTTATGTGGCCCTCTTTCCACTTTTTATACTTATCCTTTTTGTCTTTCAATTTGTTAGAGAGTTCTTTATGCAGCCATGCTGGTTTCTTTTGAGAGCTGTTATTTTTCTTCTTCATTGGTATTGTGCTTGACTGGGGTTTTATAGTCTCAGTTTTCAAAATTTCCCAAGCTTCTTGAGTTGTTTTCCTCTTGAGGATTGTCATCCATGGAATCCTTCCCAACCTCTCTTTAAGTTTATTGAAATTAGCTGTCTTAAAGTCCAAGACTCTAGTTTGAATTTGTTCTATTGCTAGTATGAAAAGGTTCTTTATTCTGTTAATCAGTCACTATATTTCCTATTTAAGAAGTTAATTAATTAATTGCCACTTAAGATTAATCATACAAAGAAATACAATTATTTCTTTATGAAAAAAATCTGGATTGGATTCTGGTCAGGGAATTTTCAGCTTTCAGGAGAAGAATGACAAGTTAAATAGATCATTCTGAAATATAAGAAAAGAAATATAAGAAAAGATTCACATAGACAGTAATGCAAACTAATCTGATTAATACTTCAAAATAAATAGTTAATTAATTCTAAAATAAGCATGCAGGTAGTTCTTGATTTCTGACCAGTTACTTAGTGAGCTCTCAAAGTTATAATGGACCTCCCAAGTGTACTTCAGTCTGGTTGTGATGTTGTCATGCTCTTCCCACAGTCATATGACCACATGATGGGTGATCAGCAAATGGGACTATATTTATGGCCATTTGCAGCATTCCATGGTCACATGACCATGTTTTGTTTTTTGCAGAAAACTGACATTTAGTTCCAATTTTTGGCAAAATCAGCTCCTAGGGAACCAGTGGTTTGCTTAATGACTGAGGCATTCACTTAATGGTGATTACTTTACAACTGTGCCATTTGCTTATTGACCAACCACAAAAGATTGGCTACATGCGTAACCCATCATATGGCTAATACGCATATACTTTGAGAACCATTAGGGAAGGCTGTCTTCACCTCTTTCTCTCACTGTTTGACTGAGCTTTCTACATTCACACCTACTACATTCCATCGTAGTAATCTGGGAAATAGTTTGGATTATTCAAATGGTTTCTGGCCAGAAGTGGTTGCTGGCCCATATGTCAATTTCCTTTCTTTAATCCCTTCTGCTGTTTAAAGTGCTTTAATCCTCCAGATAAACTGTTGAGAGTTACCCAAATAGCTATCAGTTACGCTCAGTGATTCTCCATGTGCTGTTTTTGAATTGTGGCAATTTGTCTCTTTCTGCAACTTAATGGTTTTTTATGCAAGTGTGTAAGGATGTATACGGCATGCAATCTTCCCCCATCTCTCAGATTATTTATGATTCTGGATTTAAAATGACATTACAAAAATAAATAATATTCTTTTTTTAATTATTACTCTATTCTAGGAACTGTTTCCAGCCAACCGGCAGAATGTGGACCATTTTGCCAAATATTTCACAGATGCTGGCCTAAAAGAGCTTTCAGATTTCCTTAGAGTCCAGCAATCATTGGGGACCCGAAAAGAACTACAAAGAGAACTCCAGGAACGTCTTTCTCAAGAATGTCCAATTAAAGAGGTGGAAAAATAGTTTTTCTCTTATTTAAGCCATATAAAGACAACGCCACGATAGAAAAATAAAATGTTTCGCCTAAGAACAGAATAGCTTCATGTAATGCTTGTTCCATGGACAGTTGATATTATTGCTCTGATTTTCATAAGGGTTTGCATGCATAAAAGTTAATCATGTAAACCTAGGCATAAGTAATTGTAGGCTCAATTTTAGTTAAATTTTAACTAAATACCAAGCTAGCAGGAATAGCCAACACTCCGGACGACAGACTTAAGATACACAAGGAACTGACAAACTTGAACATTGGGTGCTATCTAACAAAAATAAATTTTAACATTTTAAATTTTAAATTTTAGTCTCCAGTGGAAAAAAAATACTCAAATGCATCTCTGTGGAGAGGCAACTGAGCATATCTCAGAATAGTCTGTGTTGCTCCGTACTTAGCTCTCCCTCCCAGTTTTGGACTTGGAGTAGAGCTCTTGTAAGATATTGCTGATGCTATCTATTGTTGCAGTTGTTGACTTGTGACTTTAACAAAACTGAGTCACTGCTTACAGTGCAAGAGAACAGTTGTAGTTAAATGAGAATGGGTGAAAAAGTGACATTCCTGGACTTGGACTGACTGGATAATCTTTATCAAAGAGATGGAATAGTTTAGCATATCATATGAAGAAAATTCCTTTAGTGAGGAATTCCTTAATCAAGGAAATAAAGCTGGCTCCCCCTATGAGGTTTAACAGCTGTAGGTATTCTCACTCACTATGTGAGAATAAAAATGCAGTGAATTTTCTTTTAGTTTATGCAGTTGAACATTTCCTGTGGAGTGAATCTGGTGTATGAACACAATCATACAAAACCAAATCAAAGACATACAGGAATATGATATGCTTCCTTCTTCTTTATGTATTTTTCTTGGTTTCTCTATTTTCTCCATATGCCACTGAGAATGGGATCAAAAGAAAAATGCAAAAATACCCTTATTGAAAGGCATTGGTGGCAGATAGGGCAGTGTTATGTAAGGTAATGGCTTGAAAAATGATGTTTTTTTATGTTTTTAAACTTCCCATTCCAGATGGTGCTTTATGTAAAAGAAGAAATGAAAAGAAATGATCTGCCAGAACCAGCAGTGATTGGACTCCTGTGGAGTTGTGTAATGAATGCTGTTGAATGGAACAAGAAAGAAGAACTGGTTGCAGAACAAGCACTTAAGCATCTGAAGGTGAGCATGCGGAAAATGTTAGTACATTGAGAACACTTGTTTGAATCCTAAAGCTAGCTGTGTAAGCAGCTGTTTGAATAGAAGTATGATTGCTAAGAAAGAGGCACAGTGGCCTAGCAGTTAAAATTTTGGGCTTGTCAACTGGAAGATTGGCATCTAGGTAGTGCATGGTGAAGTGAGCTCCTGTTCCCCTACCCACCTACCAGTTTAAAAGGATGCAAATGCAAGCAGATAAATAGGTGTTACTTCAGTGGGAATGTAACAGCATTTTGTGTGCCTTTGCTGTATAGTCATGCCAATCACATGATCACGGAAGCGTCATGAGACAACACTAGCTTTTTCAGCTGGGAAACAGCGAACTCACCACTCTTAGAGTCAGGCATGACTGGACAAGGGAAACCTTTACCTGTTTATTTATTATTGCTAATTGTGAGAGGTATGGGATATACTCTATAGCTCAATAAAATACCTTCTTCATAGGCCAGCATTATGTGTTTGATGATAAATTGCACCCACCTCTTTCAAAATTCATCAAGCTTTTCAAACAATGCTTATAACATGATAATTTTGCAATTCTGTTGCCTGGAGGTTTTGGGGATGATTTGTACACCATTCAAGCTAACTAGTTGATAGAAGCTTAATTTTACTATACTATACTATTTCGATTTCAGTGGAATTCTTATGCTGTACTGAAAATTAAGAAATGGGAATAAAGAAAATACGTTTGTGAATATCTATGTGTGCATACAGCCACTTATTACCCACCTTCTGAGTTTATATTTTGTAAGAGTATCTAAAAGCCACTTAAGCCAACATAAAATGCACTAAAAAAAATTAAACCCTGCAATATAGGTATTCCTTAACTTATGACCACTATTGAGTCCAACATTTCTGTTGTTAAATGAGATATTCATTAAGTGAATTTTTCCCCTATTTAGAAACTCTATTGCCACAGTTGTTAAGTGAATCGCTGCAGTTGATAAGTTAATAACACAGTTGTTAAGTGAATCTAGCTTCCCTATTGATTTTGCTTGTCAGAAGATCGCAAACGGTGATCACGTGACCTTGTGACACAGCAACCATCATAAGTATGAGCTAGTTGCCAGGCATCTGAATTTTGATCACATGATCATGGGACTGCTACAAGGGTTGTAAATGTGAAAAATGGTCATGTCACTTTTTTCATTGTAACTTTCAACAATTGAGTTGCAAGTCGAGGACTACCTGTATTGAAAATATTGCAAAATGAACTTCTGTAGCCTTTGAAACATTTGGATAATATTCTCCTTGGTATTTATCTGTAATAACTAACCCAATTTCTCCTTTATTGTTTTAGCAATATGCACCTTTACTGGCAGTGTTCAGTACCCAAGGCCAGTCAGAGTTGATCCTTCTTCAGAAAGTTCAGGAATATTGTTATGATAACATCCACTTTATGAAAGCCTTTCAGAAGATCGTGGTGCTCTTTTATAAAGGTACTTTCTTTTATCTATATTTTTATTTCAGAGTTATTTTTATTGCTTAGATTTTTTTATCCCATCTTTCTTATATTTATAAATAATTCAAAGCAGTCAACGTATCTAATACTCCTTTCTTCTCCTATTTGTCTTGATAAAATCTTCATTTCAGTATATAAAAAGTAATAAAATGTGACACCTATGTATATATTTTTACACTCCAATCATATTTTTTATTTTTCACATTTTTGAAAAATGTGTCCAATAAAGTGTAAAAATATAGTATAATATATAAAAATATAAAAAAATGAATTTAAAAGGAGATGAGAAAACATGACCCCAGTTAAAAATCAGCTAAAAAGGTAAAGGAAGGGCTCTCAGTGCCCCAATACTCCATGGGAGGGTAGAGCGGTATGTTTTAATTCTTTCTCAGAAGAGTGATGACCTGGGGGGAGTATAAATATTTTCCACAGGAAAATTCATATTCATCATCCTTAGTGTCTATTTCTATGGATTTTGGTATTATGCAATGTTTGCAGTTTTACCAGTGTTAACATAAGAGTAAAAGCTTCAAGCATTTATCAGAGCAGCTTCCAAAAGTCCAGCATGTTGCTCAGGACATGTCTTGCCAGAATATCAATATGGAAAAACTTTTTTCTAAGCTAGAATGAAACTTTACTTTCAGCTACAGACTATGTTTAGCAAAAGGTGTATGAATTCCCTAGCAATTTTACTTGTTGGTACATATACATCATATAATAACACCCAAGAGACTAAAGTTCTCCTGCTTCCTGTAATCACTAGTATGGCTATTATTACCCCTCTGGGTCTAAATGCATTACAGAAAAATTAGGTTTCAAATAAAAATCAAAACATTACCTGATGTTTCTATTTTGATTTAATTACAATTGACTAGTGACTTGATCATGTAATCAACTGAATTACTTATCAGCTAATTCAAGTAACTCTCACTATGTAGGTGTAAAATATATTCTAGCATAAAACTGAATGACAAAAAGAATGATAAATGAAACGAGAATGAAAAGATGAATTTGAAAAGATTTCATTGTCTTGATTAGTATGCCAAAGAATCTGCTAGAAGATGACAAACTCTTTGTTTCTAGCTTGTTTATTAAAAGGATTTCCACAGGTGAGCCAATAATATTCATCATGAGAGGATAAAGTTAGTTCTTATTTTATTTTTCATATAGTTCCTGTTTTATTTTTCATATAGCTGTAAACATATTTATCTGTAAATTCATGTAGCATACACTAATCTGATACACAAGGAATGAAGTCCTTTGGGCTCTGCACAAACCATCAATACTTCAAGATTGCACTGCTGAATTTTGGCAGTACAAAGACATAGTGCAATTTTGGATAATTTGAAAGGGGGAAAAGTGACATCAAAGAAACTTTTCAGTTCCAACCTACTTTTAAAAAACATCAAAATGCAATGGAAACCATAACTACAACTCTTCTTGTGGTGTCACAGCAGATAGTGTTCTGCTACCCTCTCCAGAAAGATATGGGGCAGAATTTTAGCTGCCATCATAGACTCATGCATTTGTTGCTTGTAGGTACACTGATAACTTATGCACTGGAAACAAATTCTTTGTGTGTTTAATCACACTTGGCCAACAAAGGATATTCCTATTCCTGTTCCTATATTATAGTCCTTTGGATTTGTTCTGACTACTCTGTAGATAAGGTCAACAACTGTAAGTCCTCTTTAAGAAGTTAAAATTTCCCAGACCAAGCTAACAAAGAATCATGGTTATAACATAAGCGTATTGTCTAAGCATATTGCTAGTGTTTGCAATTTTCTTGGGCATAGGTCATATCAGGCTTTTTTTTTTTTTTTAAACTTTTTTATTTTTCTTTAAAAAAAACAAACACAAATATGTCATCATTTGTCAATCATTAAGACATTGAAGTACAATTTTTTTTTGTTGTGTGTACCCCTCCCTCCCTCCACCCCCCCATCCCCCCTCCTCCTTCCCCCCCCGACTTCCCAGAACCCGTACACGGTATGGATTTTTAACTAACACAGTCTAAAATCTATTGAGAAAAAAGAAATAAAGAAATTAATGACATTCTAGATTGAACTTAGCTTCTTCTTACTGAACTAACTTTTAACAGTTTAAATCATTTCTGATCTTAAGCATAGGCTAACTGGAATTTCTTAGTCCCGTATTTATTTTGTATATAGTCAATCCATTTTTTCCAGTCTCGTTTATATCTCTCATTTGAATGATCTTTGAGATATGCCGATATTTTAGCCATTTCAGCTAAGTTTGTTACTTTCAATGTCCATTCTTGGATTGTAGGCAAGTCTTCCTTCTTCCAATATTGCGCCACCAACAGTCTTGCTGCAGTTATCAGGTGCAGAATCAAATTGGTCTCTACCACTGTAAAATCAGTACATATACCTAGTAAAAATAACTGAGGAATAAACTTTATCCTTCTTTTAAAAACATTTTGCATGACCCACCATATTTTTATCCAAAATGCCTTAACCTTTTGGCAGGTCCACCATATATGATAATATGTAGCATCGAGAGAACCACACCTCCAACATTTAGGCTGTACATTCGGATACATAGAAGCCAACTTTTTAGGATCTAAATGCCATCTATAGAACATCTTGTAAAAATTTTCTCTCAGATTTTGAGCTTGTGTAAATTTCACATTTCTTACCCAAATTCTTTCCCATGTATCCAACATTATTGGTTCCTCAATATTTTGAGCCCATTTTATCATACAATCTTTAACTAATTCTGTTTCCGAATCCATCTGTATTAATACATTATATATCCTCTTTATATGCATTAAGCTTTGATCTCTTATTTGTTTAAACAGATTATCCTCAACTTGAATAAAGCCAATTTTTTGATCTATTTTCCACCTAGCCTGTAATTGCCCATACTGGAACCATGTTTGAACTACCTTCTCCTCTTTTAATACCTCTAAAGATTTTAATTGTAATACCCCCCTTTCCGAGGTAAGAAGCTGTCTGTAAGTAAATCTGTCCTGTTTTTGTGCTGTATTCATATTTTCAATTGCATGTCTAGGAATTGCCCACATGGGTATCTTGTCATTTAATTTATATTGGTATTTCTTCCAAACCCGCAATAAAGCATTTCTTAAAATATGACTTTTAAAGTTCTTATCCAATTTTTTGTTGAATAACAGGTAGGCATGCCAACCAAATACCAGATCGTGTCCCTCAATGTTCAATATTCTATCATTGGTTAAATGAATCCAATCACTAATTACAGATAATGCCACTGCATCATAATATAGTTTTAAATTAGGTAGTTTCAATCCTCCTCTCTCGCGTACATCTTGCATTATTTTCATCTTTACCCTCGGCTTCTTTCCTGCCCACACAAATTTGTTGATACCCTTCTGCCATTCTAAAAGGTTCGCATCTTTTTTAAGTATAGGTAACATTTGGAAAAGAAATAAAAATTTTGGTAAAATGTTCATTTTCACTGCCGCTATTCTGCCCAGCAAAGATAAGTGCAATTTCTCCCATTTTTTCATCTCTCTCTGTATGCTATGCCAAAGTGGTTCATAATTATGCTTATATAATTTCCCATTTGAAGTTAAAATGTTAACTCCAAGATATTTGACTTTTTTAACTACCTCACATCCTAGCATCACTCCTAATTCTTCCTTTTGTTTAATATTCATATTTATAGCTAATATTTTGGTTTTTCCTAAGTTTATTTTAAAGCCAGCCACTTGACCATATTGATTAATCGTATTCATTAAAACCATACTGGATTCCTGCGGTTGTTCCAATATTATGACCAAATCATCCGCAAAAGCGCGGACTCTATATTCTTGCTGCCTAATCTTGATCCCTTTTAAACCATCCAAGCCCCGTATTTTATTCAACAATACTTCCAAAGTTATAATAAACAATAATGGGGACAAAGGACAACCCTGTCTGGTCATATCAGGCTTTTAAATGGTTCTGGATCATTCATCAAATTAAAAAATAAAAGTGACTGCAGTTGACATATTTTTAGGCCTCAAGTAGTGTAATAAAATTTAATGAACTGAAGTACCCAGAACATGGTAATCTTCCACAAGATGGTATCCCTATTAATTTGATTAAAAGTAGATGTAGGCATGCTTTCTATCATTTGTTTCTGGCAATAAAAAACGCAGAACTGAAATCAAGGCAGTTTTTTGTTGTTGTTGTTGTTGCTTCTCTGCTGCTGATCTGAACTTGCATTCAGGCACAGCTAAAAGGATCTGAAAATTGAACATGGGTATTAGAAATATTAAACAGCCTATAATTCATGGGAAGAGTTTTCCAAAAGGAACAAGCAGTTTATTTTTCGTTCAAAAAGCTTACATGAAAGCAGTCAATTCTTTGGCTAAATTATTGGATTTCTTCCTTTTCCCATTTTCAGTTTTATTTAAGAATTGTGTTCGCATTGGTCTTGGATTAGTTGTCTTGGAAACCAAAATTCTTTGGTTGGATTTCACTAGGATTGCTGCTATAAATACTTGAAGGGGAAAATAGTTTCTGTAGAACAATTTCAGAATAGTTTTGTTTGTATTATTTTGAATAATGACTACTTTAAATTGAATGATTTTTTTGTTTGTTTGTTGTCAATAAGTCTATTCTTCCTTTACTGGAAAAAATATTTTATTAAGCCACTATCTTATTCTTTAACTCAATGTGAAACCCATATTCCTTCCCCCTTTTTCACCTGAATCTCTTAAGAATGAAAGAAGTTCAGAATATAACAATAGCTCTTATGGGCCACATCAAGATCCATGTTATTCTGCCATTTTGTGTTCATAGTGGCCAACTGGATACTTCTGAGGTGCTTATTAGCAGGAAATGAAGAAATTTCTTTCTTTTCCCTTTTCCCCTCGTAATTCATATTTGAAATGTGAGCTGGTAAACTTTCACAGACCTTCATATAATAGATTCAATGTTATTAAGTTAATAGCTCTTAACATGTCTTGTACTAATGAATTCTACAGATAAATTATGGTGTTATGTGAAGATGTGATTTCTAAATCTCTTTCCAATTAGCTTAATTGGAAACATTTATTTTGTGGAATGTATTATTTTTAAAATTATTAAATTAAACATTTTTATTGATTCCCATTATTCATAAATCAAATCGTCTGACTTCAATAATTTCATCAAATCTCTAATTTCTGTAAATTATAGTTTGGCTAGAATATATTCTGTACTACTCTTCATTTACAACTATTGAATATTCAGCTTTAAAGGATAAACCCTGCCAACTAATTTGGTATTCTTGGCTCTTATCCTCCAGCCATATAGAAGCAAACATAATTTATGTTGACTTACACTTTAGTTTTGCAAATCAGAAAGCATGCCAATTTTTCACAGCTTATTTTGCTAGATGTCTTTTCTTACATGTCTATTGCTCTTCCTTGGAAATGTAGTAGATGGCAATCTCTAAAATGTTATTCTCTCAGTTTGCATGCTTTGTTCCAAGTGCTGATTCTCTAAGAGTTACTGGGGGATTACCATATCCTGTAAAAGTTCATCAAAAATTTAGAAGCATTTAAAATAGCCGTGCAATCATCTTTAACTTACTATTCCAAAATGTAAGCTTGAAAGATGTTCAAAGATGATTGCTTAATTGAGGCAAAATCTTTATTTTGCAAAAGGTTATATGTAAAAAGCATACAAAAGTTACAATCAGACTTTTTTCAAATACAGAGGGAAATCAATTGGCCTCTGAATTCCTCTAGGTGGCATGTTTCACTTTTGTGCTCCTTTATAATCTAAGATTTCTTCATTTCTAAGCAAATGATGCACAATATACTGTAAACAGATCTTTCTACAGCTCTTTTAATTAGACTTGTTTCCCTCTAGTTCATTTTCCTCCTCTAGAGTACTGTACATCAGAATCTTTGTTTCCTTCATATCTTAACGTCCAGCTGAAGCCTTGTTATTTGTCTCTGTCCACAGTAGTAAAATTATTTCATTTGTTTAGTAAACATTTGATATTACAAAGCACAAAAAAGTTACTTACAACTGTTTTACACATTATGATTGTTGCATCATCTCCATGGTCACATGATCAAAATTTGGGTGCATATTTAGGAGTTGCAGTGTCTCATTTGTAAGTTTCCCAGCCAGATTCACTTAACAAATTCATTTAGCCACAGTGTTTGTTTTAAGAACTATGGCAAAAATAGGTTATAAAATGGGGCACATTTCACTTAACCACTGTCTTGCTTAGCAATAGAAAGTTTGAGTTCAATTTTCATAGTTAGCAGAAGATTACTTGTATAGTTCAACCCTTTACCCAGAAATATTTACTAATGGTTATTTTTCTGAATTTGAATTTCAGCTGATGTCCTAAGTGAAGAAGCCATTTTAAAATGGTACAAAGAGGCACATCTTTCTAAAGGCAAAAGTGTGTTTCTTGATCAGATGAAGAAGTTTGTGGAATGGCTGCAAAATGCTGAAGAAGGTAATTTTTAAATTAAAAAATTAAATTAAATTTTGAATTACATGAGATGTTCTTTGCTTATCTGGAGCTCTGAGATTCTTTGGTCCACAGAACAAAATCTTTTGGATTATCCATTGGCCAAACTGAATAAGCTTAAATAGGTTATTCATTGGCTAGTCAGGTTACACATTGGCTAATCCCTGGGTGACACTTGAATCAAGAGGAGAATCTTGCTCGCACATAGGAAGTTTTGGGTTCAGTGTCTATCACTGCTGGGTACGGTTATAAAGTTTTGTCTAATAATATCAGCAAGTCAGGTTAATAATTTAATTCAAAAGAGTTGAGCTTCCTATGATATTTTTGGTCTAGTCTCTGCACCAAAATGTTTAAATAACTGCTGTCACTTTATATATATAATACATTTGCAAATATTTAGTTGGTGTTTAATTTAAGTGAGATGTTTGACATTGTTATTATAGATGAGCTGCATGCTATTGTTATCCCTTCAAATGATCAGCACATAGATAGATTACTTATCTCCTCTGTTGATGAATTTAGTTCTTTCTATGAATTCTAAAGGAGGTTTTTTACTCTCTTTTCTTTCTTCCCATTCTCATCTCGCCTTGCCTTGCCTTGTCTTGTCTGAATAGCTTCTTTCCACTTTCCTCATTTCCATACCTTATTTTTTCTTTTCTGGTTTCTGGAGGCAGGGAGAGGAAAGTGTGTAAACCTGTATGTGACCATTGTGAATGTGAAAATGACAGGTGCTCTCTGAGGTTAACAGAACCAATGTCTACCTTATTTTATAGATGTTTAATATTATTTATCTTTCTTTGTCTCTCACTATCTTACTCTCTTTTTCATATACTCACTTATAAATACACACTATCCATGCTCTTTATTGGAATTTCTAAAGTATATATTAGAACTCTGCAAATTTTTCACAAAAAGTGCTTTGAAATGCATAGCACGTAACAATGTCTTTTTATAGGTTCATACTTGATTTTCCAAAGGTGTTCCTGTTTATCTTTATATGATGTACAGCCATGCCCAGCCATGTCATTTTACAGGGTGAAATGTACCCATATGGAGATAGTTTGGATTAGTTTCTGAAGCAGCCCCTTAAGGGGGGGGGGATTGGCTGCTTAACATTCTTTTAAAAAGAGGTGTTTCGTATGTGCATATCCACTTAAACACATACAGTATATTTGTGTGTGTGTGTGTGTGTACACATACACTGGAGGATGGCACTTCAAATTAACAAAGTGGAAAAGCATAACATAGCATTTTATCTGTGTTTATTCTTTGAGGAAGTGGCAGCTTAAATTCAGCATCATCCTTCTTTCACTATTGCTTCACTGAAACTGAGTGTTTATCACCTTATTCACTGGATATCATTTGAGTTGAAATGCTGAATATTTTGTAGTAAAAATTGCAAGGTTGCCTACTTCTGCTTTTAAATCAAAAACTATGGCTAGTTCCATTGTGCATACAGTCATAAATGAAAGAACAGATGTTTGATGCCTCAGCTGTCCCGTATATTTACCAATAGTTAATAAGACATTTTTTTTATTGTGGTTGATTTCATTTTTCAACTTCATATAGTAGCTTCTCATGGAGAAGGTTTTTTTGTATCCTGTTGAAAAATCATAAAACAAATCCCCTTGAAGTCTAATTCAATATAACCAACACATGGGTGACAGGTTGTAATCATGAATTCGTATTTTGCCTTCAGAATTAAAATATTTGCTTAATCAATTCCTATAAATTTTTAGTAATTTTTCCATCTTGTTTTTTTTAAATAGTTGACTGAAGTAACATCCCGAAAAAGAGACTGAATCATGTAATTTTTTTAAAAAACAGATATACTCACATATAATATAATAATTGGATAAGCAGTAAGCGAGCCACGGCAAGAAATATTAAAGTAAAACCCATCTAAACTTCACATGTTGGGCTTTTCACAAATAAATGAACAGCAGCATTCCTGCTTTTTGTTGTTGCCTTGTTTGTATGTCTTTAATTGCACCATCTTAGGTAGTATTTTATTTGAAAATCAAGGAAAATGATCTTGCAAAGTAAGAATAAATACAATGAAAAGGAGGAAGGCACTGTTTCATGACAACATAGGGAAGCAGCAGTCTTTGCCCTTCCTTTCCAAGGAAAAAGCAGAGGCATGAGGGAGATAGGATTGGCTTAGTGATGGGGGAATAGGTTTCAATGCTGAGTCCTAAAGATAGTTGGAATCTGCGCATGTCATTCACATTGGGGAAACCTTGCCTTAGTCTGTTGCAATTTTATGGAAAGACAAATAGGGCTCACAGCCATTTCTTTCAAGAAATGTTCATAAAACAGCCAGACATTGGCACTGTAGGGTTGATGGTATGAGATATAGTCTTGTTAGTTTTGTTAGTTTTGTTTTTCATGGACCAGGGAGATTTTTGTGGCCTTCAAAACCTGAAAGATATTAGTAGGAATAGTGGCAAAGTAATGCTATGTCCAGGTTTATTACTATTTTTATTTTGGGAGATGATTGTCAGCACTGATAATTGTAACTTTTACATTTCTGATAAAATTATAAAACATTTCAATAGGAAAAATTGGGAAGGAGAGAGTACAACTGCTACACTTTGTGTATCATGAGATGTAGCAGTTATAGTCTCTCCTTCCCAATTTTTCCTATTTCCCCTTAAGAAGGTCCCTATAATGAGGTTTACTTTTAATCTTTGTTAATGATTAATTTATAGTCCAGACTCCATCAGTGTATTCGTAGGTCTATTTTGCCCTGCCGGATGCTCACCACATGTATTGGATGTTAAATTCAACATGGCCATTAGCACAACTTAATGAGAAACATACGGAATATCCAGCATGAAGAAGCTTATTCTTGACAATAGAGACCATTTATGCCACTGATTAAAATAAATGCTTCTCACTTTCAACCTCCTTCTTTTGGCTTGTGGGTAATTTATTTATGGAAAAGTGTGTGTGTGTGTGTGTGTGTGTGTGTGTGTGTAGTGTTTTTAAAGCTATAAGAAACTTATTATTTTTCTCTCTGTTTTATAGAATCTGAATCTGAAGGGGATGAAAATCAAGATGGCTAAACAAAGCACAAACCAGACAAAATTACAGCTGGCTGCTCTTTCATAATTTTGTACTATTCAAGCAAGGTTGTTCCTTCAGTGTCATATTGAAACTTTAGGCTAGATTTTTTTCCTTCATTCGTTTGTTTAGAAAAATAAAATAAATAAATAAATAAAAAGCATTATTGTTGCTATACATGAGCCTCTTTTGGCAAGCCGTATGCCATGTAAACAATGGCATTCAGCAAAAGAGACAATTAGGGAAATTGTGATTAAAAGCTTAAGAACTTTTTCAGGTACTTCATTTTCTGCCCATAAAGGTGTTTTTTTTTTAAATATCTATACTTAGTTCAGTATTTGCTTGTGTATGTGAGTCAACATCACTAAGATTTTTTTTTAATTAAATGGATTTTGTATATTCATGTTTCCAGACATTTTGTTTAGAAGTGGTTAGTGTGGAAATAAACTACTGCTGAACTTTTACAGCAGAATTATTCAAAGAACATTACCTTATCCATATGGCAAGCTTCTTCTTAGTATAACCCACTCTGTACACTACCAATGTGGAATGTTTCCAGATTTGAGGTTGATGCCTCCAGGAATATTTGATGCTGGGGCAGAAACCTCCTGGGTTAATGAGATATTCCACATAAAAAAGCTGCAATAAACCAAAGGAGAGCCAGCGTGCCGTGTGTGTATAGGTAACACCTATCCAGCCCTAAGATATCTACATTAAACTGGATCCTGTTTTCTTTTTTTTTAAAACAGTTATGTGACTATTCTTACACAAAACAGTGATAAATCACAAAAAAGGGGTTTAAGACCTGTTTAATTGACTCAGTGGTTATATTAACCAATTAAAATAATTTTCAATCAATTAAAGAGGTCCTGTGTTTAATAACCGGGTAGATTTTAAAAATATCTTGAATGCAAATTATCGACTTACAATCATTTGTTTAGTGACTGTTCGAAGTTACAGTAGCAGTGAAAAAAGTTACTTATGACCAATTTTCATATAAGCTCCATGGTCACGTGATCAAAATTCGGACACTGGGCAACTGGCATGTATTTATGACAATTGCAGTGCTCCTGGATTATGTAACCAACTTTTGTGAGCTTCTGCAAGCAAAGTCAATGGGGAAGCCAGATTCACTTAGCAACCATGTTAACAGTTTGACAAGTGCAGTGATTGGTTTAATATCTGTGGCAAGAAAATTTAACTGTCTTGGCTAGCAATGGACATTTTGCACTCAAGTAGAGGAAATTATCTGTATTTGAATGCTGTTTTTTTTTAAAGTTCCTTTTTTCTTTTTTGTAGGAAGAATTATTTCTTTCTAAAATAGAAATGCAAAAGTTGATTTTCCAGATATTGTTGGATTCTAATCCTATCATCCCTGTTTGTTAATCATGCTACCTAGTTTAACATAAATTGAACAAAGATTGGAGGACACACATTTGTTATCCTAACCATTTTAGCATTATGCTGTTACTTACCCATATAAAAGCAGATTTGTGTAACTAGATAGCGAACTAAATTTTATACCTCAAAGTAAGGAGGATAGAGATCAGTTTTATATTTGCTCCTGAACTATGAAGTCTAAACTAGCAAGGTAATTCAAATATGTATGATAAATGATTTTTAAAAAAATATCCACTTGATATATATATATATATATAGAAAAATCCTCAAGGATATTTATAAAATTGCTTGAAAGCCTTACTGATGAAAAAAATCTATTCTGGGACACAACAAATATGTATCAATAACCCATTGGTGTGAGGTAAATGGAGATCTATCCTTCATATTTTTATTAAATAGAGATTGCAGAGCTTCTGTAGCTATCTAAGATGAAGAATAGGCATTTAGGAATATCGAGAACTAACCCAGATAAACAGGTTCAAATAAGATGGGAAACGAATGCAGTTTCTAGATTTAATGTATTAAGATGCATAGATATAAATCAGATCAAAAGATTGGTTTGTATAATTTTGTCTTGAGTTCCTTGGTCCACTAATGATCTGAATCGACTACCAACATAGTTCTAATGCTGAGAGAATAAGTGAGTTAATTTGCAAAATGCCTAGCAAAGAAGTAGCAGTAATCTATAGGAAATTCTGTGACCTGTCAAATGCATGCCCGACAAAACCGCGCTGACAAAACTGCACGAGAAAACTGTGAGGTTGAAAGCGCTCCCACAAAAGAGCACCGACAAAACCGCGCCCACAAAAGTGTGATTAGGGTTAAGGTAAGAGTCAGGGTTAGGGTTATTACGTTGTTTTCCGTTGTTTCTTGATGGCGCGCTTTCATCGGCATGCATTTGTCGGCGCACTTCTGTGGGCGCGATTTCAACCTCGTGGTTTTGTCGCTGCGGTTTTGTCAGCGTGCTTTTGTCGGGCGCGCATTTGTCGGTGAACCAGGAAATTCATCTTGCTCATCACATTCCAAGCAGGTTGTGATTTGCCTTAAACTGTACTGGATAAATTTGAATGCTTTGCCATATTTCCTGATAGGCCTTAATGTTGGCTTGTACCATGTCTAATATGCTCTTTGCTTTATGTCTCTTGCTATCACATTAGTGTCCCTTTTGCCTCTTCATTTCTTGAAACCCTTAATCTTACTCCAGTATTTCCATCAAGATGAGATCTTTTAGGGCCTTCATTTCCTGAAACTCTTAGTCTTACCTCAGTATCTCCATCAAGATGAGACCTTTCAGGGCCCATCGCATCCAGTCACCTCTGATTCCAAATTAGTACCAATCAACATAAGAAGCAATGTCAGTTTTGCGATCACTTCTATATTAGGTTGAATTAATTTCTATTTCCAATTATGCACTTGAACATTTACAAACCTGCAAAACTGTTTTATATGAAGAAAATATGGTAATTAAGAAACTCTCCAGTTTGCCAAAGTTTTCAACAAATAAAACTTGTGAAAGCCTTTAATCTAAATTTTGGGTTTAGTGCCCTCTAGTGTGGATTAATAGAAATTAGTATGTTTCTATTTTAATTTATTTCAGTTCCCGGAGTCTTTAAAACACATCATGATTATCAGGCAGGTTTTATTTTTGCTGTCACATTTACATGAAATCCTTTACTATCCTTGCAATACCTAAACGTATACTTCTGTCTCCCAGAAAAAGCTTCTTTCACTAGCCCATTTCCATTATCTCAGAAATATGTCCCCTTCCTTTTCCTTCCTATCTCCATCTAAGAATGTTCTTTTTGTTTCTTCGAAAATACATAAGACATTTATGTGTGAGTGAGTAAATGAGTGTGTGTGTGTGTGCGCGCGCACACACACACGTGTGAATTCCCTAGATTTTAGTATGGCAAAGCAGTGCATCCTAAACCATTACAAAACTTGACGTCATTCTAGTAGTCTAGAATAGATGGAATTCATCTTTTAATTGCTCAAAGGATCTCTTTCTATGTAATCCCACTTCTTCACCATAATTGGCAGAGACCCGTCATTATAATTTCAGAGCAGATTGTTAGGCAGGGATTGTGAAGTTGGTGGGCGCAAGCCAAAATGCATGGCAGTCAAAAAAGCAGGGATTGGGCAGAAATGGGGGGGGGGACGACATGAAATGCACTTGGTAACGATATAGTTACCACAGAAGCTGCAGAGCTCTCAGATTTGGATCATGTGACCACAGCGATGCTGTAATGACTAATTTTGTGTAAGTACCATTTGTAAGCAACATTGTAATTTCAAGTGGAAGCTGAGCAAATGGACATTAAGTGAGGACTATCTTGCTGTCTATACTTTTCGGCAGTGCTATATGTAATCATTTAAAATTTTTGTTCATTTGATCATCTCAACCTTTTTTCCTATCATCAGACATGGTTTTTAGTTCACCCTGTAAGCAGTTAGGCTACATTAAGAAGCCTTTTCTGACAGGAGGCATCATCTGACTGTTTTTGCCTGACCTCTGAAGATAATCAGGATTAGATCCAGGGTAGGGATGGGTTCCGTAGGTCACTACTGCTGGTTCTCTCATGGGCGCTTCACATGAACATGCTTTATGTGTGTGCTGCATGCGCATGGACAGTGCAATAAAAATTGTTCCTATGGTGCTGCCCAGAGAACCAATTCGGGGGCGTGGCAGGCCTGGGTCGCTGCCGATTCCAGCGACCCAGGCCACCAAACCACTACCGGTTTGGCCAAACCGGTTTGAACCGGTAGGAACCCACCACTGGTCCAGGGTGTGCTCAGATCTCCAGGGGATTATAAGGATTACAAGTTTATAGACCACAGTGAGAACTAAAAAAACAAAATCCTGAAATAGTGGCAAACCATTTCTATATTGCTGATTAGAAAATTACAATGGTATCTCCGAGAAAGTCAGCATTAATTGAACTTGATTTGAAGGAAACTTTCTTTAACTATGCAATGAGACTTACTGAATGTCCTGAAATGCTGCCTTGCCAGCACTACTACTCACAATCACAAATATGCACAGTTCCTTGCAAAACAATGAACAAGCTTCTTTAGTCACCATTCACAATTATGCCAGCAATGAAAAAGTAACTTCTTGTGTTTTTAACTTTCACAGATTTACAATGCAAAGGAAAGCTGAAATAAAATCATAAGCACAATCATGATTTCACCCTAGCAACCTCTTCATTTAATGGCCACATTGCTAGGCCCAATTATGTTGGAAAAACAAGGATTACCTTAATTAGAAATTCAGGAAAATAAATAATTTGACCACACGTTCTAAATCTTTGTATACAACAATAATTCTACACTCCCCTAGCACTTACATGTAATAGCATTTTTCCTTGAGTTGGCAGAGACACTGAGTTTTTGTAAAATATGATGGAAGAGCAGGTGGCTGGTTGGGCTGTTAAGCAGCTTGTCAGTTTATTTAACAGACCTTTGTTTTCAATTTGTGATGTTTCATTTAACACTGGGCGTGTTTCATTTTCTGTCATCTGTTGCTACATTTATAGATAATGTCAGCCTGTTACCACTCAAAGAGGCCCAACTTGTGAATTATGATTGCAGCTATCATAATCAATTAGTCAATGCAATTGGCTATGATAGTGAGATTTGGTACCTACAAAATAAGTAGTAATGATGAATTTAATGGGCCATTTATGACTGCCAAAATAACAGTGGAGCCAATGGTGAAATAATGAAGAAAAGGAAAAACAATATTCAAAGCATTGCCACAATAAACTCTGTGTTAAAAATAGGGGGAGGGGTGTTGATTCTATAAAAGCCTTCATCTTCTAATTTAACATATGTGGCTGTATTTCTTGTCACTTAGTTATAGAATATGTTGCCATTTTGATTTGATGTTCTAATGTTATGTCTTTCCAAACTCTTTTATAGTCCATTTTAGTTTAATGTAATAAGAAGTGGGTCAGGAAAGCTAATAAAAAGCTTCAATGTTTAAATCTGGGGGAAAAGGAAAAAGTACTGGCTGCTATTATCTACAAATTTAATTCAGCATTTTCTCTTTAGTAATCACTAGGTCACCCTTCCCAGCCAAGTATCCTGCAGATGGGCATGACCAAAGAAAATTCTGCAGATCAAACATATCTTAAGGACACCAGCAATAGCAGAAACCAGCTGAAGAGTGTTTGGCTCCCTTACAAGGTTCCCCCAACTGATTTTGTATTTTGCTAATCAAAATTATCAAAAATCTGAAATACGCTAGTTCAAGATGCTGTCCAATTAATTGGGACTATGCTGTGCATAAATGATGCCTACTGAAATAGCAAAGCCTGGAGTGGTTACAGAATGGACAAATCCCTTTTCACCATTTCATTTATTATGCAATTTATTCAACGATATGTAGAGAAACCCCAGAGTGGAAAAAGAAAAGTTCCTGCCCTTTCCCATGGAAGAAACAATCCATGGTCTTTAGACACTAGCCACTTACTAGTAATGCTATTGAAAGAGAATAAAATAGTCTGAAAGAAACAATGGATACACAGAGGATGGAGTGAAGCCTATAACAAAACAAGCAGCAGAAGTACCACAGATGCTGCAAGGCCCTAGTTGTAACAACAATATTACACTGGTATAATAGATGTATGCCAGTTTTAACACTGTTAAACTCAGATAACAGATGGTAAGCAATGGATCGTCTCTGGTGCACAACATCCTCTGATTGAAAACAGCACTTTTGTCTAAAAAATGTTGAAACACTTGCAGTCTGCATCTCTAAAATTCTGTATATAACTGCAAAATGACTTGGAATGACCAGAAACTTCAGAGCCATTCTGTATTTTTTTGTAACTGCAACTTAATGAAAAAAAACAAACAATGAATTTTGTATAGTTGCTGTCATTGTAATTAGAAGCAAAATTCTAACAGTCTAAGTTTGACTTGGCCTTCTCCAGCAGATTGTCACCAGATACTGAATGTTGGGGGTGACAATTTTTTAGAGTTTTTCAGCATCTTATCAGTAGTGATGCTGACTAGGAATTGTAGTTTCAGTGTCTTAAGGGGATCAGAAAGAATTCCTACACTTTGAGGCTACTTTTCTTCCAATGTACTATTTTTCACAGCCTTCCCTTCAGACTTTCCCGATAGATAAATAATTGACAATTCTAGAAGTGCCCATCAAATAAATAACATTTGTTACTTACACTTTATCATAATCATAATTGTGGGCATACAAATCTGAAGATCATTAATTTGGAGGGAATGTGTCCCAGGCAAAACTACTCAAGCCTGTTTCTCTTGCCCATTTTTATGATAAATAATGTTCATTTTTGCTAGCAATTGTCTCTATTCTTGTTCCTACAATGCATGTAGTGGAAGGATAACATCTCCAATTAAAGCTGGAGAGATATCCAGGTTAATAATGGATTTAAATTAATAAATGGATAAATGGATTTTTTTGCATTTGTTTTCTCTCAGTAGCTTCTATCCTTCATTTGATCTTTATGGGATTTACAGTGTTTAAAACTATTGTGTTAGTTTATTTTGTCCTCCATAGGGGACAGAGAAAAATGTTGCTATTCATTGGTGGGGGAAAAAAGTCCTCTAAATAATGCATGATGAAAAAGGATCAGACAACTAACCGCAAATGCTGAAAAATTCAGGGCAGTGACAAAGATAACATCTCCCAGTTATTTGACCTTTGCTTTGGCGTTGGCTCCACCGACACATAAAGTTTTGAGAAAGGAATTACAAATTGTGCTACTATGTTTAGGCAAAATCCTTTCTACTAAGCGATGAAGCTGTTTCTCCTATATTTGAACAGCCTTGCTGAGGGCCACTGAGCATGGAATTTGTAATACTTGAAACCTAGTTTTTGTAGTTTCTGTTGAATTGGCTAACTAACGTGGGGTTTTGTGTGTTTTAAATTTGCTTTTTCAATTGTATTGTTAATAATTTCCTGTAGCCTTAACTTTAAAGAAAAGCTTCTCTTTCTAAAACCAGGATTGGCAGGAGAACGTTCAAGACATTGTATACAATAGTTTCCTTTTTAGCTCTTCTCAAGCCTTTGTGAGCAAAGAAAATAGTCAAGCTCAACCTTGGGAAGGGCTCATATTGTAGCTTACCCATACTTATTTTTATGTTTTTCCTTTGCAAATGTTTCTTTTACTTTTACATAAAATACAATTTTTTTTTTCTATGGCTATGCTCACATGAAATTGGTGATGTAATTTAATTCTGGTGATGTAAGTGAGCAGATGAGTATTTCTAAACCAATCAACTTTTGCTTCGAATTTCTTCGTTGTACAACTATAAAAGTAAATGTAATTCATTTTTCATGGTTTCCTCTTTTTCATAGGAAGACACCACTTTATCAGAGCACTCTACTAAATTACTCTGAAATGGTCTTCCAACTCAGTTTCTTATTGGAAAAGGTAAACCAAGACAGAACCTACAGTCAGATTTGGGCAACACTGCAGACAAAGAGTAGTCCCACTTGATAAATTGCATGCAAAAGTGTGTTTTGCACATACAAAATAGATGTTCTGTCAGTGGACTCTTATATTAGATTATACCTCGCTCTAAACAAAGAACTCATCCAATACTCAATATTGTACAATATCCAAAATGTCATATCATATATGTAGTGGAAAATTCATGTCAATCAGAGACCTAAATTAAGCAACTGCTTTTGGAGTCATAACAAAAACTAAAATCCTTACATACCAGGAATCTGACAGGCATGTTTAGTTGGCAAAAGACTCCAGTCTGTAGAAAACTAGAATGCCTGAAGTAACTCCTTTGATGACAAGCAAGAGGAAATAAAAATAAAAAAGGGACCCAATATGATCTTTCTAAACTAAGACTGGGCAAATATTCAATTTTTTAAATGTGATCACTGAGTCCTAATTAGAACTGTGGCGGAAATAGCAAAGGAAAGCTGCACAAGGTAATATTTCCAGAAGCATAAACTCTTCCTGAGTCATTCCGTCCATTAGTCAGAATAATAGGCATCTATTCTGGGAAACTTTGAAGGCAAAGCTTTTTCAAAGACCTTTGGGGACCTGATATCAAATATTGATTTGGGGAAGGAATGGTAACAATTGTATTAAGGTGATTATCATAAATTTGTTAAATAAATATTTTACTAACTCGTTGGTTTTTTTAAAAAAAATAAAAGAACGGCTCTGGAAATCTTTTTTCAGGTCTACTAGCCTTTTGGAAATTCTGTTGATCAGGTGAGGAGGGAAGTCACTAATTCAACTAGACTGCCTGGCTCAGTCATTATTGCCCATATTCTCTCCCATATGTTAGTTTTGACATTCATGCCCCCATTTTTTTTCAGATAGACTACCTTCCTCATAAAATAAGAAAGATTATCTCTATTTGAGTTTTTTATATCAGTAGCTGACCTCACTTAGGTGAGAAGGACTGTATACTGACAAGAGTATATAGCAACAAGAGTATATTTGAATCTATCTGCTGAGAGTGAAACACAGTGGAGAAGTGCTATTGGAACTGGACTGTGACGACTGCGTGCATGCCATAGGTTCACCATTACAGCCCTAGATCACAATAAGTGTACATTTTCCCTACACTTATAATTAATATAGCTAATAAATATATTGCAATAATGTTTAATCAAATCCATCAAGTGAAATCAAACTGGAGTAGACCTATTAAAAAATTAGATATATGTACACAACACTACATTGACTGAAGTAAAGAAGACTGAACTCATCTGGAAAGTAAAAATTAGAAGCCAAATATCTATGTTAATGGTAAATATTAAGAAAACTAATTTTTACATGAATGAGCATTACAGATTTGGAAATTGTAACTAACAATAAAGGTAGCCCTCAAGTTACAATCACAATTGAGCTCACAAAATATTAGGAGCACAGAATGCTGGTAAAACATCAATGAACAGACACCAACTCCAGAATGAACAAAACCCGTTGGAGCTCTAACCAAGAAAAAATAATAATTCGGCGAGTTTATAGTAGGCTCATGGACATTCATTACAATATAATCTGATTGGCATTGTTTGGTGTAATTCAATCTAGGAGTTTAACCACTGGAGTTAGTGTTTTTATCTCTTAAGGTTATATATGTCAAACAAAATCACTATGGCTTTCCCAGCAAACCAAATCAATTGTACACATTTATAAGAAGTATAGGGATATAGCATCAAATTTCCAATACAAATACATATTCTTTCCTTGCAGTTCAGTCCCAACTATGCCAAATTCAAACTCTGAGCAATTGCCAATGGCATTTATTTCCACATTAAGCAGAAATCATCATCAAAGTCAGACATATCCATAAGGCTGTGGTTTTCATGCTTATATATTCTTAATGCTTAGATTTTCAGAATTAAAACTCCAGTCCTTCAGCAGCCAAGTGGATGAAACATTCAAGTATACCCACATTTTAAACTTCTTTTAAAAACAGTGGCATCGGAAAAATCTGCAAATTGTACAAGGACCTCTGCCATGTGTATTTGTGTTTAAGGTTACCTTTTTTCGGAATTGTTTTTCCAGACTTCAAATGCACAGGGCATCTCAAAATGCAAGGATAAGAAACTGCACCTACATGATATATGACCTATGCTATAGTAGAACACCGAGAATGCTCACCCCTACCCCCCCACTGGATTCACACATTATATTACCACTGCAAAAATTTCTGGGTAATTTAAAAGCATTCCTTCCTTTGCATTTGATCAACCTATTTTTCATACCTACTGCATTTTTGTTTCTACATTTATATATAACACATGACTTGTGCCTGACATACATATCATTTGCAGCAGCTTGCTCTTTAAACTGTGAACTTGCTGCAGCAAATATTTATATTTGTCTTTATCTAGCAAACTGGACGTTTTAGTGCAAGAAAGCACCTTGAGTATGCAGATAATGAACATTGGCCATCTTATCGCAATCATTTATAGAAGGGTGTACAGAGTTCATAAGATTATTAAATGTAGTCAGTTGCAACTATACACCAGCTAATACTCAAAAAATCTAGTAATGCTGCCTGCTAATGTTGTCTTTGACTTTATCCACATTAAATAATTTAGGCCCAGGTTACTAAACATCTCTCTCCTTATCTACATATTTTCCCAGTTTCTGGGGGAGGGCTTAAAACACCTGCAGAGCAGAAACAAAAGAATTAAAGATAATCAGGAGAAACAAATGTATCATCAAATAAGGTTTTGTGAACTAAACTTTAGTTCAGTGTTAGGTAAAGCCACGGATAACAATGTAGTCCCAGAGGGCACATTTGGAATCTTGAAAATATATGGTAGTTACACCATAAAATGGCTGCCAAAGTATGATTCAATAAATCCAGTTCTATTAAAATATCCATCTTTAGATTATTGAACAGTGTACTTTGGAATAAGCAGACACATGCCGGGAATGGGGAGAGGACTAAAAATAGCAATTTATCTAATTTGCCCTTCATTCATTTTATTTAGATTTTGCCCTCCTTCCCTGGATGGTTGGTCCAGATATCAAGATATTTATGCTGTGTGTCTGTGACTGAAAACCGTATCAAATTCATACTATTGGCTGGAATCCATTTCACAAAAGGCTTCCAGTTCTGCTTTACACGTGTACTTTCTGTCATCTTTCCTTCACATGGATCAACAATGATAAGGTCTGTACTTCACCTTGCAATATAATATAATACTTGCTATTGTTTCCACACTGAGGTTCTTATTGATAGTGCTGGCATTGAACCTGACCAAAAAGGTCACATCTTCATTGAGGAGAATGAGAGGAGGAGGGTGCCATATAAACGTCAGCACTTTTTCAGAGTATAACACTTAACACTTTTTCATATTTAGTGCCTGACACTTTCTTTCTTGTGTAAGGCTAAAATGTTGCAGTATTAAGAATTCAAAAATTAAAAAAAACTGAAACTGAAAACATGGAGGCTTCATTCTATTATCATATTGATCAGATGCTCATAAGCAATAAACAAATGCAGCCATTTCATTCTTCCAACACCATCTGATCTTTGAAACATAATGCTTTCTGTCATCCAAGAAACAATATAAAACCATTGTGACACAGTCATTGGAATCCCTTCACTTCTGAATTTGAACTAAGTCACCCAAGTTGATATTGATCATGCCATTTTGAATCAGTGCATAAATTACTTCATTATGTGTGTGTGTGTGTATCTCAATTGTTTTCATTCTTTCTACACAGATAGTCCTCAACTTACAAACATAAATGGGTTTGAAACCTCTATTATTAAGTGGTATGTTCATTAAGTAAGTTGCTTTTATTACCTGTTTGCTACAGTTGTTAAGCAAATCCAGCTTCCTTCATTGGCGGTACTTTTCAGAATCCCCTGGGAAGATCATAAATGGTGATCATTTAACCCTGGGGTAGTAGAAGCCCATGGCTATTCCAGTTGTCAGGCACCCAAATTTTGAGCACATAGATGCAGGGTCAGTTGTACCTGGAAGTTGTAACTGCAAGAACTGGTCCAAGTTGCTTTTTTTTTCCATTGTAACAGGTGTCGAACAAGTAGCACTAAAACGAGGACTACTTGAATAACCCAACACTTTAATGTACTTGTTTCATACAGAAAATATTCAGTCAGTAGATGTCTGAATTAGCTCTTCCTCTAACTCTTTCTGAATATCTCATCATTCACATTAAATTGACAAAGCCTGATTCTAGGATGACAGGGAAGAAAAAAAAAACCTTTTCTTCCTATAAATGTCTGATTTTATATGCATGTCTTTTTCCCTTATCTACTTTCACATCACAGTCTTTTTGCTAAGAGACACAGATGTTGAGATATATTCTGTTATGTAATCCTTGATCACTCCAGATTTTTTTGATGCCCAGAATTTGTTGTTTAAACAGATAGATAGAATCACAGATGTTATTCCAATTGAAATCTTTATTATCTTTAAAGGAAATTCCACTAACTTAGGAAATGTTATTTCTAAAAAAGCTCTCTATTTTTCTGTATACATTACCATGATGCTTTAAAAAAAAATAAGCATGTGGCTTTTCAGTTCAAGGCAAATATACAATAATCCAATAAAAATAAAATTCACTACATGGGTAAGGTAACCAGACATCCCGATTTTGGCGGGACAGTCATGATTTATAACAATTTGTCCTGTGTCCCGGGGCGTTTTTAAAAAGTCCCGATTTTCTGGTTTCGTGTTGAAAGCCCAGTGGATTTGCTTAAGAAATCCTAACTGGGGCAAGACAAAAGACACTCTGTCTAAACCCTCTCTCTGTCTCAGTACTTTCATTGAAGATAAAATGTTAAAGCAAGAAAACGGACCCCCCCGGCACCCCTTTTACCTCATTTTATAAGAAAAGATGACCCAGTACCACAGAGTTCCAGGAAATACTTGGCTAGAGAAGTCATGAGTGTTCATTCCTAGATTTTCTGGAGGGGAGGGGCACGGAA